CACAGCTGCTCTCCGAGCACAGCTACACCCCCAGCCTTTTCATGTTTTACTTGGAGACAGGCTTCACCTAAGTTGCTCAGGTTGGCCTTGAATTTATGATCCTCCTACCACAGCCTCCTGAATAGCAGAGATTACAGGCACGTGTCACCATCCCTGGTACTTCAACTATTTTTAAAACCTGTCTCCGGCCGGGCATGGTGGCACATGCCTGTAATCCTAGCCCTCAGGAGGCTGAAGCAGGAGGATGGCTGTGAATTCGAGGTCAACCTGAGCTACCTAGTGAGTTCAAAAGCGGCATGCATTGCATAGGCGGACCCTGTCTCAAAAAACAACATAAACAAAACAACAAAATAGAACACATCTCCACACCCCACTCCTAGAGAATTGAATTCGGATGATTTGTGTTGGAAACCATGAAGTTATATTTCTTTTTCCTCGTTTCTTCTCCCTTGAAGCAGCCTGAGACAATCACTGACTTATTTTAGCCCTTTTGTTATTATTTAAGGCTGTAGGAACGCTATTGCACCTAGACACCAGCAGCCTATAAGTTGATGCAGAAGACGTACAATAAATCGACAGGAAAGACGTATCCCTGTTTCAGTGTAACAGAAAAGGCTCTGAGCCTGCTATGGTGGCGCCCAGCTGTCATCCCAGCACTCTGGGAGGCTGAAGCAGAGGATCACAACTTTGAGCCCAGCCTGGGCAATTTAGCAGCTTAGTGAGACCTCATCTCAAAATACAAAACAAAAAGGGCTGGGGACGTATCTCAGGGCAAAGTCCCAAGCCTCAATCCCCAGTACTGAGGGGGAAAAAGGCACTGGAGTTACGTCAAGGCCCAGCTTTATCCTTTGAGAGGCTTCTTCTATTAATTTGTAAAATGGAAATAATTGCTACACTAACGTACTACCTCTTGTTGGTCTTCAATAAATGTTTTTAACACATAACAAATTGCCCTGCATAACCACAGAGCGGTGTTGTGATGATCGTATGAAGATAACACAGACCAGGCGGTGCCCAGGATCAAACCACTGCCAGCGAGTGGGCTAGGAAAATACTGAGTGACTCTGGTTTTATGGCAGGGAAAACAACTCTTCAGATCAGCTTGCTTCTCTACTTTAAGGCTTTACATTGCAGGCTTTAGTAACTAAGAGCAACTGTTAGACATACAATTCAGTGAAGCCTTTCCAAGTAAGCAGCAATACACACTTCCTCGTTATGGAGTGAAGAAATGTTGCATTACTCGTTCCACGGTGCCCACACAGTGTGTAACATAATAATCACGACGCTTTCACTGGAAAAGTCTGTCATGTGGTTCTGAGACATTGAGAAATGGGGCTAACTGGCACACAATAGGCTAAAACACTTTCAGGCGGAGAGGTAATACACATGAATAAACCCGCTGTTACCTCTTAGCTATTGCCAGGGTAAGACCACAGAGCGATGGAAGTGAACCTATGGAATGCATGCCACAGGAGGCTGTTTGAAAGTTTGAAAGTTCTAAAAGATTCACCATCACTGCCATAGAGGGGTCTCCTGTCAACAGCGTCCAAACTTTAAAAATCCAGCACAGGCCTAACAGTACCTACAGTTGGCAACTTCTGAGCTAAGACACATTCTAACACTAGGTGAACATAGAAGCAAATGCTTTGATGTGTTGGTCCTGCTGGTGTCGTGAAGCTTAGCGTCTTATGCAGCACGAACAGTGTGTTACGTACTACAGGCTGGCTTGGGAATGAACACCTGGGCACCGGCAATAAGCTACTCAGGCTCAAAAGCCAAATGCCCGTTTACCACCAACGTGAGCCGGACAAGTGACTGGTGGCCTCTCGGGTGCCTCATCTACGTGGAGGCGGGGCCTCTCGCTAGGAGGACGAAGTGAGAGAATGCGGGTGCTCAGGCCACGACTCCCACAGAGCAATGACAGCCATTCTAACATTCATGGCTGAGGGGTCAGGAGAGGCTGACGTCCTGAGATTCACTGGTCCTACCCGTCAAGGGGCAGAGGGCACTCCAAAAGGCAGTAAAGTGCTTCAAGGAAGGATCTTCGATTGTTTTGCATTTTATTTTAGTTGTGAAATTAAACCAGAATGAAGAACCGAGAGATAAATGAAGCCAACATAGAGAACTACGGGATTATTTACATATTCAGCTCCCTTAAGACAGGCAGGAAATGCTGTAAGAGAGAACAAAAGGAAGTCCTGTAACAGTTTTGTGACGCCTCGTCTGTGACTTGGATTTCCCTGTCATGTGTGTGGTGAAGGGGCTGGTAGTTCATTGCTCCTGAGTTTTTCGTCTTTTTTTTTCCTGGTGGTTGTGGGGATTGAGTCCAAGGCCTTTTCAGTGAGCTACATCTCCAGCCCTTGTTATTTTTTTATTTTAAGAAAGAGTCTCACTAAGTTTCCCAGGCTGGCCTCAAACTTGCCATCCTCCTGCCTCCCAGCTTGTTGAGGATACAGGTGTGTACCACCATGTCTACCTTGGCCTTTGTTTTTGATAAAAGGTGGCAACATTTCCATTTATAACAGGTGCCAGAACATTCATTTTTAAACTAGGCCATTTTTGTTTCTCTCTTCAAATATACACTAATTTTGGTTGGCAACAAAAATAGAATGCAAAAGTTTACTTGACCCATCAAAGATTATACATATACAAATATTTAATTTAGAGTATAGAAAGGTGGAATTTTTTTCTCAAATTTGAACGTGGAAATACTGTGTTTTTACCTATAATAAAACTACTTACATGAGTAAATTGAAATCAGTGTCTTGGTGTCTGCAGCTAACCCGGCCCTTCTGAGGACAAGATCCATTTACTTTTCTGTCACTTCAGGAGAGAAGCACTAACGCCGTGGGCTTATTCTGCCATTCCAGATGGTGACTGACATTTCAGGATTTGTGTACTAAAGTCATTGAAACCCTATCGATATTTTCAAGGTTAAAAAAAAAAAGAAACGCAAACAGGAAAACAAAAGAAAAACTAATTATAAGTCAAGTTTACATGTTAAATATTCACTAAAAGCCCCGAAGCCGCTAGCAGGGCCTCACAGGAGCCAAACTGAATCTCTTCCACCCCTGTAATTCCCAGTGTGCTACAGCACTACAATTATTTTATGTCACGTTTAAGAGGATGAGGACCAATGTACAAAAAGTACAGCTGTATGTCCCTAAATGTTCCACACAAGCCTGCCGGCGCTGGCGGACTTAACTTGTACCCATTGTTGGTTGCACCCAGAATACCAGCTGAAGTACACGTTCTCTCTGCGAGCGTCAAACGAGATACGGGAGTGCTGTTGACCCTAAAATATATACTACAGTATTATAAAATGCCGTTTAACTGGAAAAAAACTTCCATCACTGTAAGTCATAAATACACCTTTAAAAGAATACTAGCGGCTTTCGTCTGAGCTACTAAATAGGAGCCCATAAATACGACTGACTGGACCCACCCAAAGCCAGGGCGAAGGTAAGCGTCGCTGTAACATCTTTACAAGGAACGCTTTCTTCTTTCTTGTCAGTTTGGCCTTCACCTGCTACCGCCAGACAAAGGTTTGGGGCGTCAGCCCCTGACCTCTGGGGAGCTCCTTTCCAAGCAGCCTGAGGAAGGATGGTATCAGACAGAAAGGGGGGCAGCTACGAGGAGAAACAATTAGGAAGCTCTCATGGTGATCTGGTGTTACATTACTCTGGGAGCTACGCAAATGTTTACTTAGTGAAACACAGTTTACTTTTTTTGGGGGTGGGGGGCAGTCCGGTACTGGGAATCGAACTCTCGACCTTGTGCTTGCCAGGCAGGCGCTGCGCTGCTGAGCTAAATCCCCAGCCCCAAATAGTAGTTTACTCTTAATATCTTCTCGTAGACAGTCCATCCACTGAGCTTGACATTGTGTAAAATATCAGAATACCCTTCGGGCCTCAGATGAGCACAGCGCATCCCTAAACCCAGGCTCTGGAAGAAAGCTTGAAAAATGAGGGGTCCTTCAACGCTATTCCCAGGACTGTTCGCACCGAGACGATGGTGATACAAGTCTTTTGCTTATTTATGTGGACCAGGCAAATGGGATTTGGGCTGAGAAAATCACACAGCCTCAGGCACCACCTGTAAAAATGTCTGAAGCGGCTGAAACCGGAGCAGCAGCTCCACGCGGAAGACGCCCATTTCCTCTGACTCCAGAGCGCCACCATCTGGTCTCACAGTTTATTTCTCTTTGGGGCCCAGTTTACTTTCACAGAGGCTGGGTTTTTACAAAGGTTAGGCCCGTAGTCCTTGAGATTGCTTTGTAGTCTTTGGGGATGAAGCAAAGTCAGAAAAGCATGATTCTGGCAGGAGGTGGCTGTTAGGAACTAAAGAGATGGTCATCTTTCCCTTTTCAGTCTCTCAAGGACGCCTAGGTGCATCCGTGCTGCCGGAGAAAGCTGAGAGGTGGAGCAGGAGGAAGGTGAAGTTTCTACAGCTACCTGTGTCCAGGAGCACACACCTTCAGGAGAGTTCTATACTAACAAGCATATGAGCCCCCGGCCTCCTAAGAAAATCCTAATAAGCTTTCCTTCTCTGAGGAAAGTCTTTAGAAAGTGATTAGTTACCACCTCCTACAGGTGAGTTTGTCATCTGTCCATTTTTCTACCTTCATTTGCTTCCTTACCCCTAACTTCCACTGAGAAATTTTAAATGGAAATAAAACACTCCTGACAGGATTATGTGAGAGCGCCCCCTCTGGTTGCACAGTTCCTAGTGCACAACTAAGGTTGCAAAACTCTCTCTCCCTCCTTCTCTCTCTCTCTCTCATCATCCGTGCTAGGCAAGTGTTCCTTCACTGAGCAATAAGCTACATCTACAGCCATATTTTATTTTTATTTTGAGAGAGAATATTGTTAAGTTGCCCAGGCTGGCTTGAACTTGTAATCCTCCTTCCTCTGCTCTCCAAGTACCTGCAGTTGCAGGCGTGTACCACCTCACCTGGTACCTTTGCCTTTTTTTTTTTTTTTTTTTTAAACAAAGTCTGGTTAAAAATCATGCATAGAGAATTCTGTCTTGGGCAACTATTTAAGCATTTAGTGTTGGAATGATAGCAGCAAACATCAGCTTTTTCAAAGATCCTACCTAATTCAGTCCTCTGGCTTAGAGGAAAGGGAAAAAAAAATCCATCTTTCACATGTATATGAAACAAAGTCTTTGTCTGCCCGCAGCATAGTCATAAAATGTGCAGCGGCACATACTTGTAGCCATGTTCACACAGTAAACCATAGAAACGCACTGGCTCTGACGGCTACCTGCGGCTCACAGACAGACTGGGCCAGAGTTTACTTAGGACAGCCACCAGGGGCTTCTTCCGTCAGCAGGACTTTAGAGATGCTTACCGTGTGCCCGCAGTCCAGGAAGGACAAGCCCAGTGCAATCAGACACTGCCAACCCTGGGAGAGAAAACACGGTCGTCAGTTACCGGGCTCTACACAGAGCCTCTCGCCCACAGTGACTGCACAGCGCTGCTCAGACGCAAACCCGCCCCTCCCTTGCACATCCAGCTCTACCAGCCTCCCACCAAGGGTTGCGCAAGACATGCTCCTGACCTCGTGTCCCTCAGAACGTCCTGCTGCCTTCAATAAAGTGTTCCTATGCTGTTTTCGTTTTGTTTTGTTTTTGGTTTTTTTCTCCGGTACTGGGAACCGAACTCACGACGTTGCGCTTGCCAGGCAGGCGCTTTTGCCGCTGAGCTAAATCCCCAGCCCCCCCATGCTGTTTTCAATCATCAGTTCTCTCTGCTCCTTTTGCTTTGGCTCTCTGGCTTGCTTCTTTGATCCAGCTGGGAGTTTCCTACTGCCCACTCCCCTTCACCCCAGCCCACCCCCATCATAAGGAATAGAGAGGATGTCTGAGAGACCAATAAGACCAGTGCAGTCTCCGGAGTTGCTCCGCAAAGTTGTTTTGGAGCTAAACAGCAGTTACCCACTACACAAGCAAGCCCTCACCTCTTAAAGTAGGACTTCAGCAATCTCTAGTGTTTGAGGATCACTGAGAATAACTTGGCAGCTTCCCGAGCAGTTTGCAAGAAGGAAAGATCCCCTTGACTTCTAAGTGAGTTTTTATTTATTTATGTGTTTATTTTGGTACTGGGAATCGAACTCAGGACCTTGCGTTTGCTAGGCAGGCACTTGTGATGCTAAGCTACATCCCCGGCCCTCTGAGTGAATTTCTAAAACAATTCCTGTCGAGGACATTTGTTTATTCGGGTTTTCTAGGCCTTTGGGTCAGTATAGGTCTAGTGGGAAGGGAAAGAGAAAGCAGATGTCAATGCAGGACAATGTCTTCAATATTTACTAAAGGAATTTTCTCAGTCAGGTACCTAACCTGAGGCAGACACTGGCGTGGGGCCTAGGTAAGTACTCTGGAGATCAACAACAGACTTTCAGCCTCTGTCTTTAATTGTTCTCTGCACCAAAAGTTGCATACATTCTGCTACTCCACATCCCCAACCCTCGTGTTTTCTGCAGAAACCTGCGTAGGAGAGGGAATTGTTGCTCTACCTGTTTTGCACTAATGTTAGGTAACAATGGTAAAGAATATCAGGAAGACAGAGAGGAATAGATTTAAAATCCCACTTTCCCTAAGAAAACTATTAGATTTCTATATACTACAGACTTCAAAAATGTTGTGATAATCTCAGTATAAATAATTTGGCCTTCCTTTTGTGACTATAGATTCATAACTAGGATTTTTAAATGACTCTAGAGTAATCCAACAAGAGAATATCATTATTTACTTATTTCCTTAGACAGCTAGCCAGTGGTAGAGCTAAGCCAGGCTGTGAGGCCATCTGTGTCCTACCGAAAGCTCTAAAGCACACTCCACTCCACAGATTCCTTATCCAAACCTGTCCTATACAGTACCACTACCCACCCTCTACATTACTATCTTCTTTCAGTCCCTCAAAGCACTATATTCGCTAGCTAGAAATATCCAAGGGACAGAAATAGAAAAATGTCATGCTTTAGGAACCGTGTAATTCTATGGTTAGAGCTATGAAGAGCTGGTTTGACAAGTCCATATAAATTGCCCCAATAAGCAGGAGGTAGCCCACAGTGTGCTCTTTTGGTTCCATTCATTTCTGAATGTCAGTGGGCCTCACCTCTGTGCCCCGGTGCCCTCTACACTGGACTCACCAAGTACAACACAAAGCCCAGATAAAGCACACTGACCAGACAGCCACCACGTGCAACGCCACATGCCCTAGTTCCTGACATAAAGCATCACAAAGTACATGTTGGTGGAACACATGATAAAGACCAAGATTCCACCTTCAATCCTCCAGATTCTGTAAAAGAATCAGCACAGTCCTGGCCATACACAATAAAGAAAACTTTATGGTATGGGAAAACAGGACAAGTGCTAAAGGCCTTGCAAATGAACTGAAAAATGATTCTTACTATATGCCAGATTAGGTTAAATGTGCCAAAGTTAGACAAGAAAAAGGAAAAAAAAAGGAGGAAAAAACCCCCAGGTATGGTGGGACATGCTTATAATCCCAGATACTTGGGAGGCTGAGGCAGGAGGATAGCAAGTTCAAGGTCAGTCTGTGCAACTTAGGGAGACTGTGTTTCAAAACGAAAAATAAAAAAAAAAGGATAAGGATATAGCCCAGTGTGAAGGCCCTGGATTAAATTCTAGGTACAAAAAAAGAGAAAGAAAGAAAGGAAAAGACTATCAAATAATCCCAATATTTCAATCCCTAGAAAAGCAAAAAGCCACAGAAATGCAATGAGCCATTCCAGCAGTCTCTGCAAATGTAATAAGTCCTTTCAAATCTTCCAAAAGACTTTAAAGGTATTAACTTATGACTGCCTCATTAAGATCATTTAACATGGAATTAACGTGGCTCAAATTTCAGTAGATGAAGCTGAAGAGTTAAAGACCTCAAAACTGAAGGAAAATCTGCTTTCTCCTTCTTTATTTCATTCATATTCATTATTTTCTAAGTCAAAGAGCCAGCAGCTTGCAATCACCACACAAAGCATACAGTTCCCCCATGTGACTCACTTCTGACTGTCCTGTTGGATAAAAATGCCCTTCCCCATACATCGGCATTCCTCTAGAGAACTCATGTTGCCCTGGAAAAGTTGTTCTTTACTGGCTGTAAGGTTGTAAATGTGAAGGTAGGTATGGCAGCAAATGGAAACTGGAAAAGAAAGATCAGACAGGGCCACTGGAGGTGTTGCTGGCATATCACACAGAGATTACACCAGAGGGATCAGAAACCCGGCCTCTCCTACTCTATAAGAAAAAACCTCCTTCGATCGTCTCCTCATGTCCAGTCGTTATACTGAAACCTGTGAGGCTGTTGTTATCCTAACTTCAAGGATGACCGTAGGCGTCTTTGTGTCTTTACAAACACTGGATCAGCTGGGCGTGATGGCACACGTTATAATACCAGCTACTCGGGAGGCTGAGGTGCAGGATTGCAGTTTGAGACCATCCCAGGCAACCTAGCAAGACCCTGTCTCAAAATTAAAAATAAAAGGGGCTGGGGATGTAGGTCTCCACTGAGCTTAATCCCTGGAACAGAAAGAAGAGAAACACAAACTGGATCTGACTGTCAACATCCATAGGAGCCAGCATAGTATTCAACAGTGGTTTTAATGCTTGCTGGATATATGAACTATAAGTCTGGGTTCCACGTATAAGGATGGCTCATACTTACCATTCAGCAGCTTAAAAACCCAAGCCACTTCTCAAAGCCGTTCAGATGCCGGGGGTTTATGGGCAGTCGCCACAGACCAAGACCATCTACGCTTCTTTCTCCCTCTCAATTTCCCCCCAGCACCTAGTACCCAGCACCAACCAGGCTGGGTCCCAAAGGGCAGAACTGAGCCGCCTGCCTGAGTGGGATATGAATCTCCCTTGCTCCCTGCTCACCTGCAAGCTCTGCAGAACATTTAAGAAGTCATTCATCCCTGTCAGATGCTCTACATCTTGGAAGACAGCAACGAGCAGAGTGGGGATGATGGCAATAGAACGAGTCAGAATCACTCAGGCAAATCGGGACCACCTGAGGTTCAGGAATCCCTGGAAGGAAACGCAGAATCAGGGTAAATCTCTGTCACAGGTTAGACGGGCTGCAGAGGTGCAAGCAGAGACCTGAGGAGCATGAGACTGAGAAGTAACAAGGAACCGTGCTCTCTCCCTCTATCTGACGCCGCACCTACCTCCATGACAAACTGGCCGGAATAGGTTCCTGTCATAGTGGAGCTCTGTCCTGCAGCCAAGATCCCCACGGCCCAGATGTAGAGTGCAGCAGGCCCAAAGTAACAGCCCAGCACGACACCCTGGGGCAGGGAAGGGAGAAAGGCGTGCTGTGTTGGTGATCTGCTTAGGCGACCCTGAGAATAGCATTTCTTTGAGGCACTTCTTGCTTTCCTTTGCTAAGTGTCACCTACACCAAGAGCTGTACTGGACCTGGGCCCGAGGCCAGCCTGGATCTGAGTCTAGAGGCTCTCACAGAGCGGGGCACCTCGTTCCTCAGCCTAGTCCTTTCTCTTCTCCAAACTCTTCAGACCTCCAGCTCTACCCTCTCTGAAATACTAAACAAACAGAAATCTAAAGCAAATTTCCCCAATTCTATTCTTTAGCACATTATTCTGGAAAATGATAATAGGAGTGCAGGAAAAGATCAAATAAATTTGGGGAATGTGCAGTATGTACTGTACTCTTGGAAAGCCACAATAGACCATGAGAAATGGACGGAGAAACGCTGCTGAAGAACACTTTACTGCAGGTGCTGCCATACACCCATAAGATCACCGCACTCTGGAAGGCTGAGGCAGGAGTATCACAAGTTTGCACCAAACCTGACCCTAACCCTCAACCCCCAAAAGGGCATGGGATATAGCTCTATAGCTTAGTGCAAAGACTCTGCATTCAATCTTCAGTTAAATATATATATATATATATATATATATATGTGTGTGTGTGTGTGTGTGTGTGTGTAGAGAGAGAGAGAGAGACAGACAGACAGACACACAGACACACAGAAAGACAGACACACAAAGACAAAGAGGGTCAGCAAGAGTTTTGGAATAGCTGGTGCACAATCCATGCCTTCCATTCATCCCCTATCACTTGTATGTAATACAAAATGCTTGCTTGACATTTGGACCTTGAGAGATATTTCAAGGGGGTGGACGTGCTCACATCTGAAGTAAATCCCAAAAAAGCCAGGGATATGCTAAGAAGACGGACTTGGGAGCAACAATGACAAGCTTGAACATGCTTACTCCTGGCAGGTGCCCACAGCCAGGGTTGAGTTACCTTCAGGAAAGAGGCCGGCATAGGGACTGCCGCTATTTTTACAGACATCCACCTAGAACCCAGAGCAGCTTCAGAGCAGCTTTTGCTTCAGAGAAAAGGGAGCAGACGAGAAGAGCTGCCCTGCAGCGCACATGCAAGTCCTCTGAAAGGGGTAGGCTGGACAGAGCCCCGGGTGCAGGCAGCGATGTGGCGGAGCGCAGGAGCAGCGCTATGCGTGGCGATCCTCCATAGTCTTTCTGTAACCCCGGGTCTTCAAAACTCAGTACGAGGTCAGAGGGTGCATGACGATACTTAAGGCTGGGGCACTTTTATGATGACAGGCGGTGACGTCCTTCAGAAGCCCTGAAACATGAGAGGCTACTCTGATTGGGAGCCCTCAGTTAAAGCCGAGCCAAGAGTCAGAGGTCTTGCCAGTGTGAAATAAATGGTGACCAAGGCTACAGAGGCAACTGGAATTGGGAGGACACAGAATTTGGTACGACAAAACAAAACATGTCCTCATCACAGTTTCTGTCTTCTGTTGGCCAATTCTCCCAATTGATCCTTATCAATTGACAAATGACAAGTCGGGCAAGCAGGTAGGCAGAACTTGGCATGCAGGAAACAGGAGACGACAGAGAGTCAAGCAGATGTAAAGTTCCCTGCAGGATGGCATGAGGCAGTCTTGGGTCTGGGGCCGGCTGCCTTCTCAGCCAAAAGCCGAGACAGAGGAGACGGCGCGGTCTGCGCCCACCTGCCAGCTCTGACTGGTACACAGCTACGCAGGGGCAGGACCGAGCCCGCAGAGCCACGCCCTGGGCTCCAAGTCCTTGAATCTTCCTGTGCCACTGCAGATTTCGTTTCACCCTCTCTTGTGCTAGCCCCTGTGACCCTGGCTTACTCACCACCTGCTGCCTGGGTTTCTCAAAAAATGCTTCAGCGAAAGCTGCGATGACACAGACATTAGCTATGAAGGAAACAAAGAGAACAATGCAGGACTGAATGAAAAAGTACCTGCTGGCCTCTCGAACTTCCTGCTTCTCGTTACAGTTTATCTGGCTAGACTAGAGAAGGTATAGCAGCAGTCATTTCTTCACCAGTTGCAACGAGGTCCCCTGTAACAATTCAGAAATTTGGAGTCAGCTGAAAGATCAAGGGATAAACAAGTGACCAGAGGAAATGTAAGTGATCTAGCACTCAGCTAAATCCTAGCACATTAAGTATTTACGGACTCCATACCCACTGACAGCATTGCTGTCACATTCTCCACATAGGGTCAGTGACTAAGTGACCACAGCACTCTCAGGTATTGTGGCTGGAAGAACCACTGAGCTACAAAAATTTTAGTCCTAGAGTATATAACCCTAATTACAAAGGTCTCAGGAATCCCCTAGTAAATGCCTGTATAAAACTCACTGAAAAAAGTAAGGCTTCTGATTGGGCTCCTTTACTCCTGACCTCCACAAGGCTACTCAGGGTTTTAGGGCTTAAACACAAAAGCATGATACATTTTCAGGCCTTATGAAGATTGTTAGCCCCAGCTTCTCTGCCAGTCAGTAATTCCTGGCCAATTTAGTGATAAAAACATAGAACAAGCAGCCTTGGAAATATCTTGATCCTTGAGGGCTCCGGCATTGGTAAACTAAGTTGGTGCCCTTGGTGACTAAGGGAAAAAAGATCTCATGAACTCTCTGGGGGGCCACTGAGATAAGGGCCTTACCCTCCTTGACTGAGGCAGAATGTAGGTACACGTTTGGTGGCACGATGACCGCTCCCAAGACACCCGCAGCCTGCTGGAACTGTGGCGCACGAGCAGGATGGCACGAACATGCCCTTCAGTACCTGGCACTGTTACATACCAACTAGCAGCCTTCCCCGGAACATGAGATGGGGGATGAACTCAGCACTGCGGGGCCCTCAGCATCCTTCACTCCTTGTAACCTCCTGTGCAACAGCCGCCTATGACACGAAGAATACGGAATCATCAGAAAGCCAAGAACACAAGGAGCTTATTGCCAGCGGTCAGATAATCCAGGACTAGATTCTCTAGAAATTTTACATCGCATTTTAGATGCACAAAACAAATGTGTTACAGTACATTATTAATATTCTAAGGAGATAAAGTGAGTGCTAAAGGCTTTACTGCTATTAGCTTCACACTAATAAGTATGAGACAGTCCTCAGCATGCAGAGTCAATTCTTGATTACCCACACTTTTCATGCTTTGCTCACCTACGTTCATCTAAAGATCACTCATTTGGCAGTAGTGTGTAGCATGAGATTTGTTCATTAAAACAAAAACTCTTCTCATTCATACTTCAGGCTAATTCAGCCTGTCTCTTATAAGCCTTGGGCCAACCTGCACGATCTCCTCATAAACTAGATACAATCTATGTTTTAGCCAGGTCAGTAAGCAGAAATCAGTTTCTAATCACTGTACATAGAAAGATGTTATGACTGCAAATAATGATACTAATTCTAGGAGTATCTATGTCAGGGCACAGACCAACAGATACCCAGTTTATCACCTGTAATTCACCACTGGTGTAAAACAGAAAAAGTTCAAGATACAATTGGTGTAAACCAGGATGAGCAAAACAGAACCACTTTAAGATAAAAGACAAGAGTAACCCTGTGTAAACAGAACCACTCTGAGTTCACAGCCCGGAACAACCTGCAACCTCCTCCCTGACCCTTTCCAGGATGTCCCATCATCAGGACGGCCAACTGGGGTCCAGAAGTCTGGACTGGATGGCAGTAGACTATCTAGTCATTTCTGAGCTAGGCATCTCGGCAGGCTCTGCACATAAGTCTCTGCTATAGATTATATTCCTTCAAAATTAGCCCAGAGCCGAATAAACTTTTTGTTGATACACACACTACAATTAAACCATACTAACATTATTATTACTGTTTACAATAAAAGGTTAAACATAAAAAATAAAACTTTTTTAAAGGAAGCAAATGAATAGCCTGTAACACTTGCCTCCTATCCAAATGTGAGGACCATAACAGTGATGAGAAAGCCAAAAAATGCTTCTAGCCAGGTGTGGTGGCAACCTGTAATCCCAGCACTTGGAAGGCTGAAGCTAGAGGATCGCTGGGAGTTCGAGGCCAGTCTAGGCTACATAATGAGTCTGAGGCCAGCCTGGACTACATGATGAGACCCTGTCTCAGAAAACAAGCAAACAAACGCTCCTAGCTTCCACAGTCCCAAAGGGAAAATGCAGCCATGATCTCACCGTAGTACCTCCTTTGGTTGACTCCTCCATTCCCACCCTTACCATATTTGTCCAAAGAGAGAAATACAAAAGTATCTGCGATGGTGATGAGAACTCCATTCCACAGAGGAACCCTAGGTTAGAAATAAGACATGCAGATAAAAGAAAGAAACACTGAAAAACACCCTCTTCCTGACCGCTATCCTAATACAGAACTCTCAGAGAACTGGGACTGGGGGAGGCTAGACACTGGCAGGAAGCCAGGCCTTGCGTAATTGAGGATCACGGGACCAACCTGAGCTGGGGATGCAGTTCAGAGGTAGAACGCTTGCATAGTATGTGCTAGGCCACGGATCCAATCCCCAGTATTGCCAAGAGAGGGAGTTAAACCTTATGGGAAAAAGTGAATCTCAAGTGAGATTTGGGAAGAGGGGGAAACATGGCGTGGCAGCAAGAGGGGCAGTCAGACTTCCTTCCCTATGGCCAGGCTTCGGGACCACTGACCCCAAGTCCCCCAGTGTCTCAATACATAGTAGGGCAGCGCACATGGGCAGACGCACAGATTCCCCTGGGGGTGGGGGAGACACAAAGAGGACAGCACCCGGCTCACCTTGGGATACTGACGGTGACACACTTCGGCGAGGTGCAGCCCGGTGACCACTCCCAGTCTAGCTGCGAGGTGCTGGAGCAGCAGCCCCACGATAGTGGCCAACAGAAGGACCCAGCCCAACCGCTAAGTGGGCAGAGCCTCCGTGCGCCTGGTCAATAAAATAAAATGATATATCAAAAACGTAATGTGTTTAGAATGCACATCAACTATTTACTTGCTTACAAAACCTAAAAAAAAAAAAAGCAGAAATAAATTCTTATGTGAACTACAGTGAAAATACAAACAAAAGTCAACCACAGAAATAATCCTTGCTTCAACTGTCATATTCAAGGCAGTCTTCACACGTGAAAACTGGGTGTTCTGCCAGACGTGGTGGTGCACGTCTGTAATCCCAACACTCGGGAGGCTGAGGCAGGAGGATGTTGCAAGTTCAAGGCTAGTCTAGGCTACAAAGTGAGTTCGAGACTAGCCTGAACTGCATAATGAGACCCTGTCTCAAAAAGACAAAGACAAAGAAAAAGAAAAGAAAATTGGGTGTTCCATATGAGAGTATTGCTTACACTGATACCACACGTGTTTTGTTTTCCTATCTTTTTTTAGGGCACAGTTGACATCTTTTTGGTTTTTCTCTTATCCTTGTAGGTCTTTATGATATTGCACCTACCTGCCTGTTCACGTCAGCTCCAACTTTATTTTGCACAGCTCCTTGGGTAGAAACATTTTGTCCTTCCTCTATTGTAGTTGTTCTCTTATCAGTTCCAGTGCAAATTCTCTAAGGCAATTTCTCTGTGATATCTTGCACTTGTTATTTTCTTTGTAAACTATGAAACTATTTCTGCCAGACATGTTTAGGATTGAGTAAAACACAATCATTGGCCAATTCTTTGTGTTTCAAGTGACATCATAGTTGCCATATAATTCATCAACATCTACTCTGCCTTTGGTTTTGTTGTAAAAGGTTACTATCTCTGGCTTCATTTGTGTCGAGGTATCTCTATTAACATTGCCCTCATGATGCAATGTTGACATCAGCAGTACCACTGTGCTTTTCTTTGCCATATAGGAAGCCAATGTTATGTCTCTCTGAAATCCAAAAATTATACTGAGTATATAATTCTCAGCTCCCCCTACCCCCTGGTACTGGGACTCAAACTCAGGACCTTGTGCTTGACAGGCAGGCCTTGTGCAGCCCCAGCTATATCCCCAGCCCTTACCATACAACTGAGCTATATCCCCAGCCCTTACCATACAATTCTCTATTTTGAACTTGTAACATTTCATTGGGAATATCCACTCTGATCCTGCGCATGGTTCCTATGCTGGTCAACTGGTACTCTCTTAGCAAATGTAACATCAGGTGAGCAACTGGTAAACCAACTGTTGAATGTCACATTCCAATGAGCCTAGGAGATAGAAGCAACAAGTCTATTTATAACATTATTCAGTTTATTACTGCACAAATAAGGACCTGGTGGCTGAGTTCCAGGATAAATTTCCAAACTGAAAGTATAATACATCTCCATATCTTCCAGGGCATATATTTTTATACTGTATTTTGAAGGCTTATTTGGTAAACACTGCCTAAAGCTACAGTGACCACAAAATGCTATGTGCTCTTCCATAGTCATGTATTCAGACAGCGTGTAAATTGCTTTGCAGTTTGACACAAAGCTCTCAAACAATGAGCAGATAGTAGCCAGATTATTGGTTCTTTTTTTTCCTTGGAGGACGGTTTTGTCATCAAACCTCAGGCAATTTTGAAGAAAACCACATCTCCTCAGCGTCATTGTTATTCTACAAACCTCAAGCCTGCTCCCATCACTTTTCCACAAGTCTTTTACATTTCTGTGCTTACCATGAGAAAGCCCTGCTAAGTACTGAAGACCTATGAATGCTTTCAGTTCAGGTAGTGAGGTGTCATAATAAACACATTTTTGATTACCAGTGCATACAGAATATTTTAATTGCATTTCAATATTTGTGTATTTCACATCTTGTAGCATATCACCTGTTACAAACAATTTCCAACATTGAATCACAGTGCTGGCATTCTGTCCAGTAGATTTTACCCCTTTTAAGAACCTAATTATATTTTTGGAATTAGTTCTAACATTGGATCATTCAGGCATATGTGACCATTTTGTTGCCTTTCAACTAGTCAACTATGTACCCACACTGATGTTTTCCTCACCATCCGAATCAGGGAGGTCTTCATTCCTTGTATCTATACTGGTCAACTCTTGCTTGGTTTCAGTGTCACATTATGTTTGGCTCAACTGGTCAATGTCAATGTCATTGTCATAATTTTCATCATCATCATCAGTGTACAAGTCACCTGATGACTCACTTTCAACCTCTCCTCAAACTTGTAAATCTGGTTTTTCACGTGTCATTGCACTAAGTTGGGCTAATTCTATAAGAAAAATCATTTTAAAACATTATTTTTTTTTGAGACAGGGTCCCACTCTGTTGTCCAGGCTAGCCTTGACTCACTATATAGCCCAGGCTGGCCTTGAACTTGTGGCAATCCTGTTGCCTCAGCCTTCAAAGTGCTGGGATTCCAGGCATGTGCCACCATACTTGGCTGAAAAAACATTTACAAAAACAAATCCTAAATGCACAGAAATTTAACAAGGCACATTGCATGGGTAAAACTCACCTGTTGCTACTTTTGAGTTGTGTACATACCTGGCCTCATCTGCCAAGTGAATGCACAGATGGGTTCCTGCTTTCCCCAGGCACAGCTACTGAAGGCAGACCTGGCTACCCTGTGCTGAAGTACATATTTACATGACAAAAGTATGGTGTGGGTGTATTTTACCTCCTATGATTCCCCCAGAGTCAGGATACTATAGGTTGCTCTAGGCAACATAGTCTTGGTAAAGTCTAGAGGGAAATTTCAAAAGGTAAACCACACCTTGCAAAGTTGATCGATCAGTGGCTGGCTACGACACTTATTCCTCTCATCAGCTTTTACTTCTTTTAAGGCCACATTATACTTGTGAGTATTATAATAATAATTTTTTCCTGATTATGTCAGATACAAAAGACAAAAGAGCCAGGCCAGGTGGCACACACCTGTATGGAATCCCGGCACTTGGGAGGCTGAGAAAGGAGGATTGTGGCAAGTTTGAGGCCAGCGTGGGCAACATAGTAAGTTTAAGGCCAGGCTGAAGTACGTAGCAAGACCTGTCTCAAAACAAATACAAAACAAAAGAAAATAATAACCTGGGTCATGATTATTGGCAATATTCATGAGATCCAGAGATTTCTTCCTTAAAGAGACTCCAAGTGCCTTTATTTCCAAATATTCTGCTGGACTATACAGAAGATTATAGGAATAGACTTTCTACCCTTTAGGGACCTATGAAGTGAAATTTCGGCCCTCCCACACTATAATTTGCTTGACCAATGGGGGAACTGTGTACTTTAACATTCCTAAAGAAATTATTGCAATAGAATTTCTTCAAGCAAGCACCTGACAGAAGAGAAGACTCATTCCTCCCACGAGGTGACATAAACCTAGGCAGGCTTATCGTAAGATAAGACATCTGAGGGGCTGGGGATTTAGCTCAGTGCCAAAAGCGCCTGCCTGGCAAGCGCAAGGTCGTGAGTTCCGTTCCCGGTACCGGAGAAAAACAAAAACAAAACAAACAAACAAAAAAAAAGACATCTGAGACTTACTTTATAAAAAGGGTTGGCTGGCCTTTAGAAAACAAGCCATTCTGTAAATGCCACAACTTGTCTTTCAGGAAAAACATCCAGGCCTTTCACTAATGAGTCTTAGGTTTGGAACCGGTTTTTCAAGAATGACTGTGAGCAGAACTCAGGCCATGTGGTCAGTGCTGTCACAGGCTCAGATCATCCATGCAAAAATAACACCCCTGAAAGTAAACATGGGCCCCTCCTTATTACCCAGCCAAAAAGATCTTTTCTCCTCTCCCTTTCCACAGATCTCCTACTATCAACCAACTGGAGAGGCAAATTTAAGCTTTAAAGTTTCTGACCTCTTTGTTGATGGGCCACTCAGTAAAATTTAGTTTTTATAAAAACTTGGTACCATAATCTTGATCCCTACGCATGTCCAGTGATGATCCCTTGCTTGATAACATGAAGCACCTTTAAGATAATTCTTAAACTATCATGGCACAGAGAAGCAATGACACAATTGACCCACCACACACTGGCCACAGAGGCCCACCCAGGGATGTGGGTGAATCATCCCAACATGAAGAAACCCCTGGGAATACATGCCACACAACGGGTTGCTCTTGCCCCTCCTATTGAGAACCAGAAAGGTCCAGAGTCAGTGGAGGAGCAGCTGCTGAACAAGGACTTGGAGAACATGAGAATACAGACTACGCCCAAAGACTCAGAGGTCTAGTTGACCAGAGTCACGAGAGCCATTCAGAAGTTGGAAATCAGGAGGACCTTACACAAAACCTGGGGAGACCCTCTGGAAGCCATTCTTCCTCTGACAGTACAGGCTGAGGTGGAGGAGCGCATGGAGCTCTGGAGAGGTCTACACTGAGATTCCTACTGCCTGTGCTGACTGCTGGGGAGAGGACACTAAGTGGTTGTGGGGTCCCAATGC